ACGTGACAATGCAAACATGCTGATACTGTTCAAACAAGATGAAATCAATCTTAAACATATTTATGATGAACATGTGAATAATGATATGACTTTTTCCCAATTCAAAGAGTTATGCAATAACTGTTGGAACAAAGGTAAATACAGCTTCATCATGATCTGTAAGGACTTTGATTTGTTTGCTGGTCGTTACAGGTGTGGACTAGACACATTTGTGACTGATATATAACATAACTTATAATTTTAAGTAACAGTCAATGAACATGTTTCGCAGAGAAAAGATGCTCCAAAGAAGACGAAGGACAAAACGTTTCCAACAGCCAAAGAAAAAGCAAAGTAGTATATCACAAAACATAGCAGTGAAAGAAGAATTACAAAAGCTAGTTAAAGCAGTGCGTGGCAAGTATCAAGAGATACGCCGCAACGAAGATGAGAAGAGGAGTTCATTGGAGATCGGATCCAAACCATTCGTTGAACATTACAAAAAGCAGTGGTTGAAAGTTTTAAGTCCTTTGTTCATCCAAAAATAGAAATAAAGAAAGAAGAGGTGAGTAAAGAGGTTACAACACACAACGACATGTCTACTCAAACAGAAGATAGACTATCACCTGAAACTTATCTACTTCGCTTGGCTAGTCCAGACTACAAAGATAAATTAGACTTTGTCTATGGAGTTCGTCCAAATGGTAGCGGTGGAACTCTTATTGGAGACTCAAAGATTACGTTTTCACAATCTGAGGTGTTTGTTAAGAACAAAACGTTCAAATTATCTCAAAGTCTTTTAGAACTACTTTTCATGAAAGATCCAAAGTTGTACAAACAAAATGATTTATCCACATACAAAGAAATCCTAATACTTACCAACGCGCACCTTCAATCGTACTCTTTTGGCAAACATATAAATTCAAACAAAGGGAAAAATATACTTCAGTAATTTCCCCATTATTCTATTCAAAACCAACAGGTAGCGTTTTGCATCAGTACACGTTTTACAATCAGAACGTCAACACACTAGTGGACAGATTAAGAATACTAGTTATGTCACAATCTGCCGGTCACACCGCTCATGACACTGAAATTTCACAAATATTAAGGCTGCTACAACAGAATAAAATAATCGCTTAGATGGATACAAAACGAGTTTCAATTGATAACATCCCCATTTATTGGGTCTACAAACCACCTAAAAAGGACAAAGAAGATTTAACCTGGATGCAAGTGGCATTAGATGAACTTCGATTCCGCAACAGGCTGGAGAGCATTTTGAAGATGAAACTGGATCATATAAAAGTTTGCGACAAGGACTATCATACCACATGTACACAATGCTTGCTTAAAAAGTAAAGTATTTTATTACCTGATAAAGTATTTTCTTTTTTCCTTATTCAAAGCATCCCACGAATTCTCCTAGTTGATGGAGTTTCAATACTCACGCCATGATCTCCACAGTAAGTAGCGCCATACACTCAAACACAAGTTGCAAGTACACATGTCTCAAACACAAGCTATACACTGCATCCTAACACCAAGTGCACACCGCACTCGGTCATGTACGCACCACGCTCACAAATATTGATTCTCCTGTACCTAGACAAAAACTCACAAAGTCGAGCTGTGGCCACATTCTCACTCGAATCTCCATACTTTTCAACAAAGCTGTGGCCAGTGTGACCATTAGACAAAAACTCTAAGTCGAGCTGTGGCCACGTTCTCAGTCGAACCTGCGGCCATACTTTTCAACGAACCTGTACCTAGACGGAAACTCACAAAGTCGACCTGTGGCCATACTTTTCAACGAACCTGTGGCCATAGTTTTCAACGAACCTGCGGCCAGACTTATCTACTAAACCGTTTTCATTTAACCCCCACGCCTGATATAAACCTTTGGGAAGTACAGTCAAAGTTGTTGTTTAGGCTAGGGTGGTGAGCCGCGATCACGAATACAATATCACGTACATAACATGCATACACTTTGCAGGACACTCAATTACACATCACGGGTGGAATTATACGTTTTGTTTAAATCAGCGACGATCTTTACGTTCCGCCGTATAATTTCACAGTCGGCGCAGGTAAATAACAACATAACCTATACCACTAGTCGGCTGTTTTTGGCGTTGTGTTGTGAGTCATGACAGCGCCAAGTTTGAACTCGTGACGTCACCGATCAGCTGGGAGTTGAATCAGCTGATTGACCATCCCTAGAGGATTAGGGCGGGGGAAAAGAGAGGTGATCCCTTGTGGGCTAGGGATGCGAAGGACATTCTAATTCTGCGATTTACAGTGTTAGGACGTGTCTTGCTAAACGATTAGTGATTTTGCTAAACGTGTGTTTTAGTGAAGATCCCTGGAGTATACAGGTGATTCGCCGATTTTCTTAGTAGTGTTTATTATTAGTCGAGGCATTTATTTAGGATTATTAACCCTCATTTTATTCATTTAGACATAAAACACACGGTAGGGTCTTTGTCGGGTGTTCAAACCTGTATAAGTCCGCTTTAGCGTATGCTAGGGCACCAGTGGGTGGCGATAAAGATTTTTAGGGATAAATATATCGTTTAATATTGTGATTGAGGGTTACGGGGTTTTAGCGAATATTTTGCCGAGTTATTCAGTTGGTGTTGAACTGCTGCGGGCAGAGTTTGAACCCATCTCTGCAGGTCGTGCAAACACGAGGTCGGGTGGGCACGCCAGCATTCACCTAAGAAATATTCTATGCAACATTGATTTGTTTAAAAATTTCTAGCGATAAGATAAAAGAAGTTAAAGAACATGTGTTTTACCAGATTAGTGAATGCACAGCTAGGGTTAACAAGGACTTAGATGCATTTAGGAAAGTTGTCGAAGATTAATCAAGAGATAATATTACAGGTAGATCAAATGACAGTAAACGATTTAAAGAAACGGCAGGCCTGTATAACACAAAAATACACCTGTATTGTGAATCTAGCTGTAAGGAAGGGGTGTAAAAGGACCTGACCAGATCTCACTCAACTATAAGATTTGTATCAGTAGGGAAGGAGAAGTATATTTTGAATCTTTGCTAATATAAATACATCTGGGAAACCGTGTACTAAACAACAGGAAAAGCCGTGGAGGAAGGTTCAAGAACAACGCGCCATTTGAGAGAAACCAACTGTAATGAACAATTAAATACAACAAATAAAACAACAACAACACCAGTCCCTAAGTGTAGACATTGGGGATAAATATTTCGGTTTTCCATTTCAGATGAGCTCGAGCCACCTTACTTGATGCTGATGTTGTTGTATTACTTCGTTATTCTCATATTATCCATCATTGCCTACATCTTTGATGACTGCAAGAAGGAATTCATCAAGTGATTTTCTCCGAGCACAAACAACCAGAAAACTGCGGCTTGAATTAGTACAAACCTTAAATTATGCGATTCGGAATAACAGTTTGCGTTAATCTATGAAATTGACCAATTATTGAACTTACTTGACCACTTCAGATGCCTATTAATTTATGTAGAACCAAATCTAATAATGTGTAGTATTTAATATTTTCGTTTTTGTTGGCTATACACTGACTAGGACGGGCCTGCGAAATAGAGTCTCAGATATTTTGAAATCATGTGATAAAAAATATATAAATTAAATAAATGTTAAGGGTGTTATTTTTGTTTAAGATTGTATAAAAATCCCCAAATAGGAATACGAAATTAAAATGCATCACAAATTGTATGTTTAATATTTAAATTTTTACAAAAACTATGTTTTTAAAAAGTAGCCAAATTCACGTTATAAATCGAAGGGTTGAGTAGGTGAGGGGAGGTAAGTAACATTTTTGTAAAAAAAAAAATCCGGTACTCTATGCACACTTGTCTCCTTCATCCGGTACTCTATGCACACTTGTCTCCTTCATCCGGTACTCTATGCACACTTGTCTCCTTCATCCGGAACTCTATGCACACTTGTCCCCTTCATCCAGTACTCTATGCACTCTTGTCTCCTTCATCCAGTACTCTATGCACACTTGTCTCCTTCATCCAGTACTCTATGCACACTTGTGTAATTCATCCAGTACTCTATGTGCACTCGTTCCATTCATCCAGTACTCTATGCACTCTTGTCTCCTTCATCCAGTACTCTATGCACACATGTCTCCTTCTCCAGTACTCTATGCACACTTGTCTCCTTCATCCAGTACTCTATGTGCACTCGTTCCATTCATCCAGTATTCTATAGCCCCCCACACACTACCAGACCAGACCTACTGACCAGTCTGTCTGGTCTGGCGTCTGGCATTTGTCTTATCGTGTGGGGCTGTCTGCAGACCGATTTTCTCGGACCAGACGGTCTGTCTGATGGTTGAACCCTCAGACCACAGACGGTCTGAGGTTCCCCCACCACTATTTTTGTCTGGTCTGTGAGTGTGTACCGCTGTCTGTCAGACGTCAGACCGTCGCGACAGTCTTCCTGTTGCACTGTTGCAGTGAGAGTGATTGTAAGTTGCTGATCTTGCGCAACCGTGATGTCTCAGCAAACTCAACCAAATGAAGCTGAAAGAGGTGTTGATGGAGCTAATCGAGGCATTAAAAGAAAACCGATGTTTGTAGGACACTAAGTGTGATGATACCTATACGAATAGAGATCTACGGAGGGCAGAACATGGTTCGCTGTTGGAGATTTATAAAAAAATCCAACCAAATGCATCAATTGACCTAGTAAAGAAGAAGATAGAAAATCTCAAGTGCAGTTTCAGGCGGGAATTGAGGAAGGCAAGCTTTACAACATTGTTATTTCTAAAAATCCTCCAATAATTTACTTTTGATTTTACTCAATTTTTTAGTACTATTTTATTTTAAAGCCACTTTATTATGTTCAACTAAGGTGGATGGGGATTGCAAATAAATCCACACAATTGTTTAAAACTAATTTTTACACGATTTTTTAAAACTAGTTTTTTACACGATTATTTTTGTAAAGATATGATGATTAGGGATAACGGTAAACATTTATTTCCTCTAAAATAAGGCTAATAATAACAAAATAATTTAAATAAAACATTCATTGCAGGTAAAAGCCGCAGGTGAGAAGGAGATGATCAGAGAAGGATATGATCCTCTGGAAAAAGACGAATCACTAATGGATGTTGTGGTACAGAAAAACAATTAGCAAAATAACGTTATTGTGCTCTTAACATATCCTCTTGAAACGTAAGGGCTCCTTTGTCGTTGTAGTAGTCAAGAAAACATTTTCGAATACTCTTCCCTTGATTAGAAACAATTCTTACACTCGATTGCTGCATATGTGCTAAGGACCGCACCTCACGCCAATCCCCAGGTCGTAACTGCATTGTATTAACATCTTCAGTGTCAACAGATGTAGGTGTTATATAAATTGCATTTCTCTGAGACAAGCAATTGTGCAAGACGTAACATGCAAGAACATTCAACATTTTCCACATTGATTTACATGGCCCTTCTTGCTCGTGGTAGTCTGTAGTTGAAAATTCTTTGCACATGAGTTATATTTTTGACGGGTAAGGCTTCATTATGTAAGGGCTAAGACTAAACCCACTGTATCCAAGGAAAGCATATGGGAAGCACTTATTCGTGCCTGGTAAAGCTGTTGGCGCTGGTAATCTCAATTCATCATTTATAAGTCTCTGGTAAAAACTTGAGTTTTAGAGAACTGTAGAATCACAAACACTCCCATTGGCCCCTACATGTACGTACATAAACTGATAGTTTGCATCAACGATAGCAAATAACACTATGCTTAAAATTTTTTTTATAATTTAAGTACAGCGATCCGCTTCCTGTTGGTTTTTGTATAGCTATGTGTTTTCCGACCATTGCTCCAACAGCGTTATTGAAGTTCCACTTGGTCTCAAATTGATGTTATGTGTTTTTCGTCCATTGCTCCAACAGCGTTATTGAAGTTCCACTTGGTCTCAAATTGGTGTGCTACAGTTTTCCATTCATCCTCAGTTTTTGGGATCTGAAAATAAAACAAACTAAATTGTTTTTTTTTTTATTTTCAGGAGGAAACAGTTGATGACCCAGGAAATGGTGCAGCAGTGGTGCAACAACGGGGCGACCAGCGGCAGAACGCAGGACCTTCTACTACTGTAAATCTGGCAAATAGCCAAGAGATTAGCAGAGACCTTTTAAATAAACAAATTTCCGCACACAACTCACTGAAGCTAAACAAACAACATAATAATGGGCCTCTTCTTGCATTTTATACAGACCTACAACACGAAGTGTTAATTTTGAGTTCCTATGGAATTAAAATAACTCCACCAAATAACTGTTGTATGCTAGAAAGCAAAGACATAGTGGAGGTAGACAATTTTGCTTTTTCAACAGAGTTAATTACCAATGTTGTGATTGGAAGAAAGTTTTTAGCCCAACATGACTTCTAAAAAATCTGTAGCCAACAAGAATATCCTAGTTATAATTTGAACATAATATAATGTTAAAAAACTGGAGTCATTTAAAGGATTGGCCAGTGAGCAAAATCAGCCGTAAATGATTCAAGATCATGTTTGATGAGAAACTTGTTTTATTTTCATTACTCCATTGTGAACAGTAAGGATATGAGTTAAACAATGTTAGACAATAATTCAACACAATTCTGATAAGATAATGGTTTGTGGTGGAGGCTTACGCACGTGATTATAAATTTAGGCCCTCTGTAAGATTATTATTTAAAAATAGGCCCTCTGTTTTCCAGGCATAAATTTGGACTTTTGTTTATAAAATTATTGATCTTGAGTATGATGTAGTTACCAACTCATAGTTGGTTAGCAGCAATTTGTGCAAATATCATGGCGGATATATTTTAGGTAGGATCTAAAAAGAGGCTCCTCGATGAGTTCTCCCAGCGAATACAATGGCCTATCCACTAGGGCTCCATGAACAACCTTTTTAAATTTCGGCAGTTCCAATTTACGCACTCGAACTGGCAGAGTATTGAAACCCTTTATTGCAGAGCGGGGATAACTTTTTAGAGTGCGACTCAAGCGACAGCGTAGCATATCCAAGTCTTGTGCTCTTCTTGTGTTGCAGCTGTGCTGATATTCCCTTTTAGAATATTCTCCTTCACGTTCTTTTAGGAGGATAAGTATGTCATAAACGTATTGACTGTAGATGGTAAGTATCTGCTGATCTTTGAAAATAGGCTGGCAATGCTCAGTGTATTCCGAGGATGTTATGATTCTGAGTGCCTTTTTTTGGAGCAGAAGTACATCATGGGCTGCAGGAGCGTGTCCCCACAATACCAGTCCATACATTATGTGGCTGTGGTAGAGGGAATGATACACAGTCTTTAAGTAAGGCTGCGTTATGATTGACCTAAGTTTCCTTAATAGGTACAAGACTCTGGAGAGCTTAACGCAGACTTTGTCAATATGGTAACTCCAGCTGCACTTAGAGTCAATCCAAAAACCAAGTAGCTTTACAGGTTCATCTTGATCTTCCTCCTCTCTCGTTTTGAGTGTGCATATCAGCGATTGCACCTTGTCCTCATTTATCTTCAGTTTGTTAGAGATAAACCATTCCTTGGCTTGCGTCAGCAGTTGTTCGGACTCCGCTTTGAGTTCTGGCAGATCTCGGCCTCGAGAAGACAAGGTAGTATCATCTGCAAACAGCAGTATGTGGCCGTTTAGCGACAAGTCATTGATCATGACTGTGAACAGTGATGGGCCAAAGACCGATCCCTGCGGCACTCCGTGCAGCAGTACACCAACTCTAGAGGAGGCCCCACGGGTCGCCGTCTATGTGTCACCCCGACAACCCATCACCTCGGTATTTTGGGCACAGACGACAACGTGTCACCTCGTAAAAATACAACGATGCCGTCTAGGTGTCACCTCGTCTAGTTGTCACCTCTTCTCTGGAGGTGATTGTTTGTCGTGTGTAGAGACGACTGCCTGTCACCTCGCACGCTTGCGTCAACGTGTCACCCCGACTACCCGTCACCTACTCTAGGCCCAGGTGACGATCTGTCGTTGCCGTTTACGACAAACAGTCACCTCGTACACTCGCGACAACGTGTCACCCCGACTACCTGCCACCCCGCTCCATCTGTTTACGTTTTCTTATAACGCATAATAGGATTTCTCCACTTGGTTTATCGGCGCTACCATGCTTGAAAACAAAAATTGTATATGTTACAATAAATAATAAACAAATAATAAAATACATTATAAATTATGCATGTTTAATCTTCACTAACTAGATGATACACGCAGGATCCACCCGGGTAATAAAACTAAAAAATCTAACAAATTAATAAAATAATACTAAAATATAGGTAGTTAGAACCAAATAACATTAGGTTGGTTCTGTATACTGCAACAAGTAGAAGAAAAAAAAATATTTGCAATCTAAATGCAGTTAGGACATTTTCCAATGTAGGAGATTTTATAAAAAGTTCAGTGACACTGTTACATAAATTTTAGTTTAAGCCAACATTGCATGCTCTCAGCTTAAATAGAACGACCTTTTGCGATTAAAAATGTTTCATGTTAGTGCCAAATATAAACTTATTCCAGATCATAACAGATGTTACATTTGAGACTAAATTTTTAAGACGCCGTTAGACATTTGACCAATTAATTGAACATATATTGAAATAGCTCATAGTGTATTTGGATGAATTAATAATTATTATCCACTAGGCCTTCTATGGCCACGAGAGAAATTTATTTCTTGCATTCAAACACAAAAATGAACTAGTTAAATATAAAAAAAAACTACAAGATATGTCAGAAAAAAATACGTTTCATGCTAAATTAAAATTAAGTTCCTTTACTTTAGCTTACTACAATCATTAAATTCAAATATATATTTAATTTTTATAATCCATGTAATTCAACAGATTAAAACTATTATTCAATTAAAAATTAAACCTGATATTCCAAAATATAAGCTTTCAAACAGCACTGAAAAAAACGTATCTTACATATTGAACACATAACTCTTGGGAAGTTCAAGAATAGACTTTTAAATGTTAAAGGATGCATTTACCTGACTTAAGTAAAAGGTATTCTTGTTAATACAAATATACAAACTTTGAGTTTTTTTAACTTATCAAAATCGAAAATTTTGACTGTAGTTACTGCAGTTTTAAATAACGCCTTTATAACAACGGTACTTGACAATTGCTAGATTTCGAGCAACAGGTACATAGTAGCCTACTTAATTATTTTATGAATGCTAATATTATAAATTCAATATTTCTCAAGTAAGCCTATCGCATAAAAAAACACAATACCGACTAAGATACTATTATTTAAAAAGCTGTATGTCTTACCATGTAAACACTTCAAATTTGTTCGCATTAAAACACGTCGTTCTATTCTTTTAAACCCCGAACTAACAAACCAATCCATATTGCTAATAAAACGGGTTACTTAAAAAAATATATATAACTGTTAACTGTTTGACTGTTATTTAACTGTTAATCACTGTTTACTATTAACTGTTATAAGAGTCGACGTATAAGAGCTCCGCTCCGCTAAAAATCTGGATTTTCTCATTTTTGTTCCTCAAGACACAAAATTTCCCAAATTGTCTATAGACCTCTTTAGAGAGCTTAAAACACAAAAAATTCAGTATATCTAAGTATTTTTGTACAATTATTAGTTATTGTACAGAGAAAATTTATAAAAATATGATCTGAAATTTCCTATGTTATTCTTATGAAGAATATTGTAAAATGTTGTAGTTGCTTGTTTATGGAAATATTTTGATCAAACTTGGCAAATTTATTTATTATATACTGAGATATTATTATTTTTCTAAAAATACACACTTTATTAGTTTCCCTGTGGCAGCAAACTTAGTTACTCGCTAAACTGAATGCTAAAAATGCATTTTTAGGCCTAATTGAAAATCAGTTCAAGTAAATGGGAATTCGCTTAGACTGCAGGCTTGCTGCAGCGGAGGTATTATTTTTTGTACTTATTTTTGAGCCTGTTTTATTTATATAGGGTTTCCGCACATATACAGGAAAATATATTTCTAAAAGGTTTGTGTAGATTTTCTCTGCGATGCACGGGAAATAAAATATGAATTTACTAAAAGACCCATTCTGCTCGGCAGTGTCGAAATAATTATCATATCCTAGAAATGATCAAATTTATGATTTTTGATTTATTAATATTGTTTCTTGATATAGTAGAGTTTTGAACTTAGCTGATTCTAACAATCAATAGTTCAACAATCAAATTAAAAACTGCAATTCAACGGTTATTTTGAGTCAAAAACATAAACAATACTGGAGCAATTGATTTTAAATCATAGACAAACTTTATAGAAAATAATTTTTATGTAGGTTGTTCACCTTGCCTTTGCTTGAAACTCGTCCGATTGGAATGACTAATAGCTTAAATGAAAACCGATATTGCACTGAAGGTTCGTCTTAGACCAAAATATATCTATAGGATTATATAATCATTGAAGGTTTTAGAAAAGATAAGTACGTATAATATATTTGGAATATGGTTTTAATTCATATTAAACTATTTACAAAAAAATATAAAAAAACCAAGGAATAAATGTGCAGAGGGGGTATTTTAATCAGCCACAAAGTATATACCATGTAAGGACCGAAAGTTACTTTTAAAATTGTTTGTCATAGAATAGGAAGACCGGAAGCCTGATATGATTTTTTTATATCATACGCACGGTTATTCACTGGCGCAATCACCCACATGTACTGCCAATTGTGTAAATCATTTGTTTTAAATGGAGTCTTTTAAGTCCTGAACAATGAATTAAACTTTTATTTCGTAATAAATTATAAATTTCATAATAGTATATAAGTCCTCAGATCATATCACAATATCTTCAGAGATCGAAAAATGACAAAATATAGTGCCAAAATATAATCTGAACTGATTTTACTGGTATGTCATTTAAGTTTTGTGAATTGAAAACAATTTTGAGAAGTTTTTTTGTGCTTGTTAACAAAACATCTTTAAAAATTGT